GAAATTACTGCGGCCCTAACTTGACTACAAGGATGGTTTTGACAAGCAGCTTTCGTTGACAAAATAGTTCAGCCCCTTTAAATAATTAAGAATTTAAGAACGTTGTTAATGGAGCTGCCTTTAAGTTCAAAAATCCATTGTACAAGTGCCTGAAAGTATTGTACACTTTATTTCGAATCCCAAAGATGACATAGATTTTTTACTGCCTACTTTAAGACACCTATTTAAGTGATTTGAATACGTTTGTAATTCCTATGATACAATTTATAATAGTCAACAGGTAGGCAATACGGGCTTATACCACACCCATAAATTAGGGAAATTATCACCTACAAGCTAATCAAGCAATGGGCTTGTGTTGCCCACAAATATGTTAGTGCCAAGCTGTCCATATCCTGATTTTGAGTGGAAACGTGTGGTTTGAGTGTGACCTCAGGAAATAGAGTTGGTTATTTGACAAATCTTGGGCCTCTAATCACAGTATCGAAAACTGAAGAAGTAATATTAGCGCATGGCTAAAATATAATTTAAAATTTAAAGTGGACTGGACTAAATAGGTAAATTTAAATAGATGCTATTTCTACGAGCATTTCGGGACAGTTTCCCATTAAAAGCTGCCCCCCTGCGTAGAAAGTGGAAAATTAAGGATACAAACTTTTGCAATCGCTCATCAGACTGTCAGACTTGGTGGTGAAAGGAAAGCGAAAGTTTTTGTTTTTTAATTTATGAGCCACATAACCTGACTATGAAGATCATTAGCTGATCAGCAGCTGGGTAGTTTGAATGCCATTATCTAAAGTAATCAATTAGGCCAGCTTTTAGAATGGCCAATAACTTGTTGTTTTCAATAAACGTTTCTTATGTAGCTCCGTTTTATGGGAAATAGATTATTCAAAAATCCTTCATTTTACTTCTATGCCCGTCCGTTCTTGCCAGGCAGCCCACGATATTCCTTTTTATAGCTTGAGAAAGGCTAATTTGCATTTTTATGATTTAATTTTCCAAATGCATCGCAATCAGTAGGAAATGGTCTATATTAATGGCTTCCGACTACTGTTCCGGTATATCATTAAAACTTAATAAACCGATTTTATGTTCCTGTTTTTATTTCTTTAAATTTGTGTCTATTTGTAAGAAAGGAATTTAATAAATCATAGCAATTTTCGTCTGTTGCCTTATGTACCGGCTTTTAATAATTAAAATTGATTCAAAAACATATCATCGCAATTACCACTTTCATATTAAGCGGTTTAATTAGCTAAGTATCCACTTGATATACTTATTTTAATTTGTTTTTTATTTTTAAAATCATTTTATTTTATTCTACGTTTAAAGACAATGTTTCCCTTATTTGCATTTGCTCAGTCCTAAAACCCTTATTTTTATACCCGTTACTCGTAGAGTAAAAGGGTATACTAGATTCGTGCAAAAGTATGTAACAGCTAGAAGGAAGCGTTTCCGACCCCATAAAGTATATATATTCTTGATCAGGGTCACTAGCCGAGTCGATCTAGCCATGTCCGTCTGTCCGTCTGTCCGTCTGTCCGTCTGTCTGTCTGTCCGTCTGTATGAACGCTGAGATCTCAGAAACTACAAAAGCTAGAAGGTTGAGATTTCCCACACATATTCTTTGGCTTCCTACGCAGCGCAAGTTTATTTTAGCCGAGCGCCACGCCCCCCTCTAACGCCCACAATCGCCCACTAACGATTTTAAAATGGGTCCTGCGCCCACATCTTTAAAGATTTCCGAGAAGTATAAATGCAATTTTGTTGTGTATATTTATACCTATCGAAATGTAGAAGACATTTTTCAAATCGGACCATTCATTAAAAAGTTATACGCAATCAAAAATTATATATCTATCTCCCTCGCACTTCCTTTAGCTGAGCTACGATTATTAGTCGGGACACCAACCCGACACAGCGTTCGCACTCCCTTTAGCTGAGTGACGGGTATTAGATAGTCGGGACAACAACCCGACTATAGCGTTCTCTCTTGTTTATTGCTGCACTTATGTACGAGAAAGTTACGTAGAAAGTTAGAGACTTTAAAAAAGGGACTATGCGTCATAAGCGGACATAAAAATAGTTTATGACAACTTAGGTTTATTTATAGCTGGGTCTTCCAACTGACGAACTCGAGATGTTTAAATAACGAAATGAAAAGCATTATAAAGGGCTCATCAAATAAGAAACAAAAGGGGTTGTAGAAAACTGAACTGTTTTTGTTTACGAGAGGCTTAATATTGCTTAAATTAAAAGCAAAAAGGATTAAAAATCATAATGATGAAGTTGAAACAAATTTTCCTGGCCTGTTATTACCGAAAAAGCCTTATTAAAAATTTGTTCTTTTTGTTTAAGTTGTCAGTTGCACTGTTTTTCACCCCCATATTTCCCACAAGCAGAGTGGCGCAGTGGAAGCGTGCTGGGCCCATAACCCAGAGGTCCGAGGATCGAAACCTTGCTCTGCTAGATGGATATTTTATTTTTAAATTTCAAATTTTAATTTTTTTTTTAAACTTTTTTCTTATGTAATCTCTGCAGTATGATTACAAAATATATATTTATATATTTATTGTAATAATTTATTTCATCATACCTGATTTTATATTTCCTTTCTAGTTAATATTATCGATAGCTAGACTAAATCCTATTTCAAAGCGCCTTATTTCTAAATCACGTCAATTTCGCTCCAGGAAATGCCGGAATCCCAGAAATCCCCTAATCCCTTTCTTCTGCAGATTGGCCAGCAAATGCAAATTGTGCTCAAAGCACAAATCTTTAATCAGAACTTTATTCCGCATTCACCTGCATGTTCATACAAACGTACAATATAATCGTATGTGTGTCTGGCATTTTTTTTATCTTTGGTTGCAATTCGATTCGGAATCCCTGCTCGTTTTGTGACGCAGGTAATTTTATTGCTGCCTTTTGACTGCTCACAAAAGCAGTTCCTTGCCTTTCAAAACGCTTGTCGATTGCATTTTCCATTCGCCGACAGCACATACAACCGAAATTTACCTTTACGGGCCAAATGCAAATCGAAGTTGTGGCAGCTGCATTTCCCAGCGGGAGATCTTAAATTCATCTGCCGTTTATTCGAATGACTATCAAGTCAAGGCTATAAAAATATATAATTTATATAGAAAATGGTTTGAATTATTCGAAAAATTACTACATTTTTAATATTAATTTTTAAATAATTTTTTAATATTATAATAGAAATCAAAATTATAAAAAAATATTTTTTATTTGTGCAACTTCATAAAACAGCTTTAATCTTTTAACTTTTCTTTGCCATCTAAATAGACGATTTGGTTTGAGTCCAAATCCGATCTTTTCCAGCTTAAATCCCGGCCATTTTTGGCTTTGAGCATGCCAAGTTTACAAAATATTTTGTATAGTTTTTGTGCTGATTCCTTTTGAGCCGTGGTTTTCGTTTTGTGCACCTGCCAATCGTAAGCTTTTTTAGGTCAGCCGGCCGTCGTTCTGCGGTCAAAATGCAATTGTATTCATCTGCTGCTGCTGTCCGAGGCCTTAAAGTGTGATGGAGCCATCGCTCGTTTTTTATCCAGCACGAACACACGTTGTGTGTGCACAATTAATCAAACAACGGGCAAAAAACAGAGTGCAAAAACAAGAAATATTCAATTATTCATACGAAATGTTAACCCGAATGTGTGGCACATAACCACAAACAGGCGTCGCCCGACATAATGTTGATAAGTGTAAATGCCATATGTAAATGTTGTTCGTGCCACGCCCATTTGAGTTTTGGGGGGCTATGAAAAAATTAAGCCAGAGTGATTGTGACATCAAAATTGAGTGGTCGGATATTTATGGCATATAGAATATCGCCAACATGCGGTGGATAAGGGGAAACAACTTAATTCAATCGGAAGAAGGCTAATTGAGTGTGTCAGGTGTCCAATATCCTGAAATGGCCATCACTATCGGGTATATCTAAGGTAAATAAGGTATATTTCGCCATATTTTTGCCTTTTTTATTAGAGGTTACATTACATTTTTTTATTTGCACATTCGATTGGGAACACATTTTAACTAGAGTCGAAATTGTTAAGTAATTTATTTAATTTTAAATTGCCAACTGCAGCAATGGCGCAATTCGACTATCTAAACTGCAAAAACCAGGCACATGATGGAAAAAACGTTAATGGCACCACTGGGATGTAGCTACAAAAATTCAACAAACAAAAAATAGGGAACAGATAGCCCACAAAGTGGGTGGCATAAAAACCGCATTAGGTGAAGGGTTCTCCGAAATTTGTTGGCCATGTGGGCAAACAAGAAAGTTAATTACTTGCACAAATAGGAAATGCGATATGAAACTGCATACGAAAGTTATGAAATAATTAGATGCAAAAGGGATGGCTTGGGATCTCGGGTAATTGATAAATATAAACATAGTCACCTTAGTTTATTAGAGGTTAAACCATTTTCGCACAACGAACAGATCTAAATCCTAATTGTTAAATCCAATTTTCTGATTTCCTTTAGTGTAGAAACAAAATATTTGCGTAACTTTAGTTTTCTGCTGTCTGACAAATAAGTCAAGGCCTCAGAGAAGTCATTTTTGCCCTGTAGTTTGAAAGTCACACTAACCAAGTTCATTCAAAATTTACCGCCAGGCAGTGAACCGAAATGGTAATACAAAATTGCACCATGTGCAGTCGTAAATAAATAATTCATGTCCCACAGAAAGAGAGTCTGATGGAAATGGAGTTGCAATTGCAGCAGGGCACATCGATGTTGAATGAATTTTTAGTGCTGCTGGAGACCGAAAAACAATAAAAAATATTTTGTGGCATGGTTTTTGTTTCGCAATTGGCTGAGCTCTAGATGCAATTGACAATTGGGTATACATTTTGAAAGCAAATTGTAGCTGGGGGAAAAGCAGGCGGCATATAGCAATCAAAGTTGAAATATCATTGCACAGAGCTAAATATTCTGTTCGAAGCGAAGTCAATTGGGAATCCGAAATGCCAGCAGTGCACAAAAGAGCAAATGCAGAGGTGAGTAACTGTAACATACCTTATCATTATAGCTATGCATCCTTATAAATAATCTAACCTTTCCATAGGATGTACAGATATCCAAGGAACCGGAAGAGAACATCTATTGCGTCTGTCGACAAAGCTATTATTATGGTTTTATGATGTAGGTGATAGTGGTTTTCCTTCATATATAAACCTGACTGCATTTCGAATCCCTTTTCAGTGCATGCGATAAATGCGAAGAGTGGTTCCATGGAGAATGCATCGGATTGGACCCAGACAACGGGAATCGGTACGATAACTTCTTCTGCGAATGGTGTCTCCGCAAGGATCCCCTCTTGAAGTGCACCTTCAAAAGCAATCCACCAAATCCCATGGCGCAGGAGGTTACTTTTCCCGAAATAGCCAAGATTATCCAGGCGGAGAGCTTCATACAGCCACTGGTCACGAAGAAAACCAATTTTCAAAAACCAGAAACCCCAAAGAAATGTCGGGAGAAAAAAAAGGCCATCAAAGCTGTAAAGAAATTGGAAGTAGTCAAGAAAACAGATCCAAAACCAGTTGAAAAACCATTAGCAGTCGCCGAAAAAGTAGATCCAAAACCGGTGGATAGTGCCAAGAAAACAGATCCGAAACCAGTCAACAAGTCTTACGAATCGAGGGCATCTCAATGCAATTTGTTCCGCGAGTTGGTGCAGCAAACTTCGAATAAATCAGGAAATCTAAGCAAAAAGCGGGGCATCTGCTTCGCTTTCTATTGCAATGAGATCGCCCGACCGGAATCTAGATATTGTTGCGACGACTGTGGCACTTTCACCGCCCTCACAAACGCCTTCGCCGTAGCACCCCTCATGACTTCGGGATGGGGATTAGGCAGCGATGGATTCAGGTCCAAGGATGTGATGGTAAGATCGCTCTTTTTCTTAATATTAATTTTAATTTATGTTATCAAAAAAATCAAAAGGTTCAGTCCAACTTGCTAGCAAAAATTGAATTGAAAAAAAAACAACAGATGTCGAATAAAAGTTCACAGCCAACTGAGACAGAAATGAAGATAGAACCTGAGGCAAAAAAATCAAGGGACCAGCTGGGTTTATCCTCCAGAAGAAAATCGATGTCTTCGCGATATCACAGTCCCATTAAATCCACAAATAACCTTAGTAGTGGTATTAGCCCAGCCAAGAAACCGAAGTTACAGGCGAAACCAACTCCAATTAGATCTGGGAGCTCCGAAAAGGCGTCTTCAGGAAAAATAGATACTTTGCCTCATTGTGCGTCACCCAAGTCTTCTAGATCTGTTAAAAAAATGTCACAGACTGTACCCAATAGTCCAAGCTATTTACGAAAGACTTCTATACAAAAAACACCTTCAATTACATCACATCCCAGTACAGCCACAAAAGACACCTTTTCAAGCCATCGAAAGTTATCCTCAAATGCTAAAGTTAATACCGCTCAGGTTAAGACACCTTCTCAATCGAAAACTACACACATCAGTCGAATGGCTACACCAGTCACATCTCCCAAAAAACAGAAATCAATGCCTGTGACGACAACCCAAAGGATTTCCAACATATCAACTAATGGGGCGTTACAATGCGAGCCAACAAAAGAAAGAAGAAAATCGGTAGGCCACATGGTATCCCACCTGATACCCAAGCAGAGCGCTTATTTGGCCAGGAAGAGGATGATGATGAAGCTAGCCGGATGACTAACAAAAGGGCAAGTCTAAAGATCCTTATATAAAACCACTTCAAGTGATTGAAATCCAAACATTATCCATGTATACCTTTATTCAAATAAATCACGTACATATATTCAGTATATTTGGTTATTTTTAGTCCAAGAACACATCCTTTCTGCAGCCATAGTGAAATCAAACAAACCATTTATGGAATAAATCTCCAAAAGTGTCACATTTGTTGACCGGCGAAAGTTTCAATTTTGGCACGTCCCCGGGGCGTATACGTGATGTGAACCTTCCATCAAATTTCCATCAGTCAATGGTTTGGAACAATGGCCGAACGAAAAAAATCCAACCTAAGCGTCTCTATTCTGCATTTGAGATTTCCGGATTTTGTTTAAATATTTTATCACCGTCCTCGCCACATTTATCTTACAGAAAGCAAAAAATAGGAATTATTTCGGTTGGCTTTTGGTCGGCATTTTGATTTGTTTTCGCTTTTTCCGATTTTTCACACGTTGAGAAAGTACTTTTACCGCCCCATAAAATTGATATACGAGTGAGCTTTTGTGGGACTCGCACCTAAGGATGTGTTTTCATTATTCAGTTGGTGATTTTCGGGCCCCGGCTTATTGGCTCTAGAATTGTCATTTGCAGCATTTGCTTTTATTTCATTATTCATATCTATAGTTTACCTATTCCGCCCATCATCCATCCGCCATGTGTTGCGGAACTGGAATATAGATATAAAAAAGCCGTGACAATGATTGACAGCTTTGCGCATTTCTAGCATCGCAATTGAATATTTTTTCCCGGTCCCATGAGACTGTCGTAAAATATGGACATAAAAAAGAATAGCATGGGCACTAAATTTGATATTGCACAAATGTCGATTTCCAGTGCAAAATAAAAGCGAAGTTTTATACCCAATTAGGAAACTGTTTGCGCGGTTCATTAAAGTTTGATAGCTGTTTTTTTCAACCTCGCCTGATTCCAAAATCCGAACTTCATCTTTCGACTTTTAAGCCGATTGCAGAAATTCGAGTCGCCCGGGATTTCAATCTTAAAAGTAATCTTATTACCGTCGAGCTGCAATATGATATTTTAGTCTTTTCGTCGCCAGGCTAAGCTTGTGTTTAATTTTCCACTCAACAAAAAATATTACGTTGCCCCCTCAAGTGCGTTTTGTGTACTTTCCGAGTGGCGAAATTGTCTCATGTGCTTGCTTTGTGGGCAGATTGAAAGGGAGTTCCTCGTCCTTGAAAAATTGAAAGTGCCTCCAGCTGTCCTTGGTGTCTTATTAAAATTTTACCATATTTGCGTAACTGTGTTTGCGAAAAGAAAAAAAGTAAACGCTTGGATTACATTTTACGGCGGAGTGCATAATTTAATTTACCTTTAGGGAAATTGCAGTTAAGAAGGCCACATTTTTTTAGAAGAAATTGTATAACTATTTTTTTATATACCTATTTATTATTAATTGACAATCAATATGACCTGAATATTTAATAATGTTTTTTAGTTCGATGTATTTAAACATGATATCCTGAAATTAACTTTTATTTATCTCACATATTAAATTTCTGCTCGAGGCTTTGAAGGACCATCAGTGCTTTCGCCTCTCTTTAAGGTCCCACCCAAACCCATAACCCAACCACATGACACCACAACCCGTCACCAACTGTTGACATCCTCCTTTAAAAAGGTTAATTGTGTCGTTCTAATGTCTTTAGCCATCCATGTGCGTGGCTGACGTGTTCGGGATGCCAAAAAGGGGAAAAACAGAGGGGGCCACAAAAGATTTGCCACCAGGAACACGTTTTGTTTCAGCTTCTGTCCTCAAGACAGGAAAAATGCTTTCGATCTACGTGATGCTCGTCCCTCTTCGGTTTCATTTAATGGGGAGCAAATGGTTTTATTTCTATTTACCGTATTGCTGTTGCTGCTTGAAGAGAGAAGCTTTTAGAGAACACACAAATTTTCCTGGCACCATTTCAGTTGCAGCTGTACCCATCCATCTGAATTTATTCCCAATTGATTTTGGAGAAATTTTGATAGATTTCAATTCAGTACATCCAAAAGTTTCCTTCAGCTTGCGAGCAACTTTGGGCAACAACATCTGACTAAAAACTTCTTGGCTTGGAATAACTTGGCGGAACTTCAAATTCATTTTCAAATCGCACAAATAAAAAACGCTTCACCCACTTAAAACTTAATTTTGCTGGCATTCACTTCCCCAACAAGTGTGCATAAAGTTTTTGGCCTCCATATGAAATTGCGAGACGTTGAGAAGCCGGGAATAGACTTGTATTGATTGTCCTAGTAAAAGTTTAACGAATTACGGACATGCCATGGAAAATCTTGGTATATGGCTTATAAAATTATAAGAATTATTTATTAATAAAGCGAGGAAACTAAAAGTTCACTAAAGAATTTGGCGAATGATTTTCAAAAGTTGATTTTTTTAGATAAAACTCGATAGCTCTCAACACTATCTAAATTCAGGTCAATTGATACACAAAAATAATAGTTGAATGGCACTCTCTTCCTGGCCATTCCACACCTTAATAAGTGCCGAGTTCTTTGCCCACTTCCCATCTTGATTAGCATTCGTCAGTTGTTGGCCCGTTTTGCTCGGCCATTTGGCCTGTTTTTAAATTTCCGTTTCCGCTAGCGGTGTCAACTCCATGGCAATGTCATTTCCGTCAGGAAAAGACGCCTGGGAGGCCATCAGCTTCAAAGCTTGGGACTGAGAACTGAAAACTCGTCATCCTCGACGTCGACGTCCGTCATTGTCCTTAGCGTTTCCGCGTCATTTCCATTTAAAAGTCCTCCGCTCGTGCTCTTTTTCCGATTCTATTTTCCGGCTGGGGGCAGCGGGCTGACAGCTGGAATAGTCGTCGTCGGCACGTTGATGATGGCATCATAAAAAGTTCCATCGACTGCAATTTTTCCCAGCTGATTTATTAATGTTGACAATCGCGGCAGTCTGTTGACATTGCCCCCGCCTTCTTCAAAAACCCATTGTAATGGAGTTCCTTCGTCTTTTGTCTTGAACTTGAACTCGAGCAGGTAGTCAGTCGAATTATTTACACTGTAGATTAAAGTATAATGAAGAATGTTTTGCCATTTCAATTCGCTTCACAGCCCTCTAATTAGTTTCCTCATTTCACTTTTTTACTCTTCTTACTCTTTAACCTGCAATTAGCAGGTTTCCGTTGAAAATTGCGACTGGCTTCTAATTATGATGGCTATTTTGGGCTTAAGGCTTACGAGGTAAATGGATTATAAAACGATGAAATTATTTTGAAGGTTTTAAATTAGCATGATTAACAAGCATTAAATATAATATTTTTCTGAATATATATATATTTTTGAATTTTAATTAAACAAGACAGAGAAAATTGTCTTAATAAATGTCATAGACCAATTATTTATTTTTCATGGCTGGCGTCTCATTCCGCTAATCTTATTTACTCGGTAATTGCATCTCAAACTCGCATAAGTCACGTGTGAAACACGTGAGTTTCGTCCTGAATTCAAGTGGGATTTAAATTTTGCTACACGTGACCGGAATTTTATTGTAAAAATATATATTTGTTTATTGCGGTGCTTTTTTTTCTGTTTCTTTTTATTATTTTAATGCTAATTATGGAGTATAAATGCAAGCCAGAGCAGTGCTGCCATCACTCAGCTTGAAAAACAGGACAGATGAGCCACAAAAAACAGGGAAAAAAAGGACAAAAAATTTAAGAAAAGGGCAAAAAAAAGGACAAAAGTAAATGTGCCTACATTTTTCTGTTTTTACCAAAGGGTTATATATTAACTTAATATAAACGGATTTTAAATAAAATTTAATTATGTAATGATCTACTGCGCCCGACTCACAACCTTCTTTGTTTGATCATTTTACCATGGTAAATTTTTGTGCGTATACGTAATAATCTAAAGTTATTATAATAATTAATGCATTTCAAGTAACTATATTCGTAATACAAAAAAATTAAATATCTGCGTCAAACCCGAAAAAGAGTCGTTCAAATGTGAATTTTTTTTTCTGACAAAAAAGCAGAGAGTAAAAATCAACAAATTTTTAAAGTGATTTCCTTTTTTTTTTTGCTACAGAAAAAATCGTACTATAAAGAAAATCCATCGACTTCTTTACATCTCTTTGATAATTTGTAAAAAGAATTATTTTTTAAGTGCCGAACTGTAAGAATGATGGTTAAAAAGGCATTTTAGCAAATAAAAACAGGTTTATACACTTTCGACTAGCAAAAATAACACTCAAAACCTTTTTTTTGAAAAAAGGATAGATTTCCGGATAGGGGATGTTTGAAATTTTTTCCGGATAAAGCCGTTAAAAAAAGGACAGATCTGTCCGGAAAGAGGACAAAATGGCAGCACTGAGCCAGAGTATCAATAGCTTAAAGTTTACTACATCAATTGATTGTTTGGCTTTGGCTACAATAAATATGCCAACCACGTGTTCGGCGGAAGGACGTGATAAAGCCATACATCACTCGATTTGTTAACCCCAAATTGCCCGTTTATTATCGCTGCGTAAGCCACCTGAATAACAATTTCTCCGATTTTCCCATAAATACATAATTTAAATGCGCCAATTCATCAAGTTCATGGCTCAATACCTTTTTATTTACCTTGGTGTTTCGGTTCGAAAGTCCTTTACCTACAATAACCCGAAAACATCAATGTCGGCTCATGTGTTTTGGGCTTCTCAAATTTATGCCCATGAGAGAGGTCCCTCCTCTCCTCATCCTTTCAATCGCCGCCCTATTTTAACATTTTCCTTAGGGAAGCATACGCAACAGGAAACGGAAACGCCGATTTGTCAATTGTCTGCCACAAGATTTATGTGAGCCACGATAAATTTGATACACGAATACCTGATTTTGCTTTTGGGGCACGCGATTTTTTATGGGGTGTTCATGAATCGAGGCAATTTGTAAGGGAATCGCAAATATACTCGATTTATTTAAAGCTGTTAGATTTAAATCAAGTTGTATAATTTTGAAAAATATAAATTGACAACTTGTTTTGCTCTAATTTCAGCTATTGATATTAGTTATCTGTGCTAACTAGCACCTCAACTGATAACTAAAAAGTAAATAAATATATTTAACTCATTGAATAAATTAAATCTTTATTTTGTGCTAGCAATGTCAACAACTTTCGCACTTAAATATAAATTAAGAAGACGCTTTAGTTTTAAATTAACTTAGTCGAGGGAAAGCTAGAGAAAACTAATCAACAGGTTCGTTCGTATTAGCCAACTAATGCGCCTTGGCCTTGTAGGTGATCTTCCAGACTTCGAAGAGGCAAATGGTGGAGTGGAAGCGGTAGAAAATGGCCAGCGGCATGGAGATGTGGGTGATGATCGTCCAGCCCCAGACGCCGAAGAACTCCAGGTGGGTCTCCCGGAAGACGGCCCGTCCCTTGATCAGGGTGTTCACGAACCAGATGGCAATGTTGGCCACCAGCAGGAACGTGATGATCTCCCTGCCCGGCTTTCTCCTTCCCTGCTTGGCCCCCTTGCACCGCCGATGGCTTGCGTGCAGGATGAACATGGTCTGCAGCGAGGTCTGCACCACCCCAAACACCTCCGCTATAATGCCCTCCACGCGATCCGGCACCGTGTCCCATTTGGCAAAGTAGCTGCCCAGGATGCTGAACATTCCGTACAAGTAGACCCCCGTCTGGGCCACGATCAGCAGCAGATTGTCCAGGTCCATCGAGTGGTGCTCGTCGCTGTTGTCCTTGATGTAACGCAGATCGCGCATGAGGATCATGCCTGTAAAAAGATAGTAGAAGGAATATTATAAAAAATATATATGATCTTAACTTCACTTCAAATTAGTACATATGCTGTTTACTAACTTAAAAATTAATCTTTAAACTATAATATTTTAGTCAAACTTAAATGGGATTCCAAATAAAATTTTAATTAATTAAAATAATGTTTAAATGAATACTCAAAAATTTCAGAGGTTCTAAAATTACTTATAAGGGTGTCTAAAAATATATGCATATAATGATCCACACTTTTAAATACATTAATCAGGGATTCGAAATAATATTTTACAGATTTAAAATGTTGACTTATTCCCTATTATCCCCATAATATTCCCCCACTCACCCGTTATCACAGCCGCTGCGCACATAAAGTACATGAAGGTCTCCCAGAGAGTGACCTCCTGCGTGGCCACCAGTTCGTAGCCCGGCTGGGTGTAGAGCACGAAGTACATGATCATGGAGATAATGGTCATAACAATTATCATGATGCCAAAAAAGAGTCCCTTATGCGACTGCGAGCAGTCCACGGAGAAGTGATGGGCTGGCTTGGCGGCCACGGGCTTAACGGAATTCTTGCGCGTCTTGTCGATGTCCGGAATCGACTTGACGGTCTTCCACATTTCGAACAGGATTACGGCACAGATGAGGGAGTACTCGATGGTGCAGGGGAACAGGAAGGGTGATAGCTGCTGGACCAGAGCTCCCATTATGGTGGTGCGGGAGCAGCCGCTGAAGGGAGCCGCTGCCGTGGGCACCACCGGAGCCACAGTGGCGTTCGCAATGATGGAGCTCACATTCGTTAGCAGGTTGCCGGGATGAAGGGGATGATGCTGGTGCAGTGACTCATTCACCGCCGACCAATCAGTCCTGGTGGCTGTGCCATTGTGGATCACCAGGTCGTGGGCCGGATCCACTTCGTGCTGGCTGATGTGGAAAATCTCGTGCTTGGTCTCCTCCACCAGGACATAGAGCCACTCGCACAGATTGGTGGCCACCATGTGCATCAGGCCGAAGCGCGAGGTCACCTTGTGCCGGGCCATGTCCATGTAGGTGGTGTTCAGGAAGATGAACTGCACCTGGGCGATGCACAGGACCATTCGGCAGATGGGCGTGATGGCCACGAAGACATCCCGACACCCAGGATGGCCGTTCAGCTCGAAGAACTGACCAAACTCCAGGCCGGAATAGACCATTGTGCCGATGGCGAAGGCGATGGCTCCCACTCTCAGGTAAAAGCTGCCGAAATGGGTCACCTTGTGCTTCAGATGCACATTGCTGTTCTTTTCATCTGGAAATATATATATTATTTAATCCCATAAAGGTCTTAAATATCTCTATCAATCTTACGAAAGTCCTTGAGAGCATTGAAGAGCGATCGGTTTCGGAAGGCACTGATGTACAGGAAGATCACAAAGAGTATGCTGCCCACATAAAGGTAAACGTAGAATCCCTGGTAGACATAAGTCGGGATCTGGTCGGATATGACCTCTGTGATGGGCAGACAAACGCCGAGCAGTACTAATAGTTTGCAGTAGGTGGCCGACAGCGCTGCGCTTATGGCATCGCTGGAAATAAATATAGACCAATTTAGAAAAATCCTATATGACTTGTTTAAATTTCAAGAACTTACTTGCCTGTGCGCCTGTTCTTTTCCTTCTGCTGCTTGGCCTGAAAACTGCTGGCTCCATTGTCGAAAAAGGCCGTCGATCCATTCCTGGCACTTGTGGTGCCGCTCTGGAAATTAATGCTCGCTGTACTGCCATTCGCTGTTCCCTGCAGGTTACTGGAATATATTAAGAAATATCATATATAATTATTAAAAAATTATTATCCGATTAAAATCTGCCAGCACAAAATATGTATAACTATTTATAAAAGCAGGCGTTCCTAAAAAAAATAAAAAAATTGTAATTTGATTGAAATATTACGGGAAACATTTTAGAAAATTTTTGTCTATTGTTAAAATAATTTAAAAATATTCCAATAGAAATTTAAAATAATTTTAAACAAATTTTTCCCATTAATTTGGTTATAAACAATATAAAAATTATTAATTCAAAAAGTTTCATTGTTGATGTGATTAGTAGCACTTTGAAATGTTTTTCTCTCCACTTCTAAAATCCTCATTATGAAACCGAAAAGTACCCATTCTTGGCCGACTTTGGCGACAGGAACATGTTGCCGTTATTTCGCCCGAAGAGCGGCGGCCGCTGGGTGAGGATCTCCTGGAGGAGCAGCGATGGCCGCCGGGACACCTGCAGCGTGCAGGCGGAGTCCTCGTGGTGAATCGGAATGGTGGGCAGTGGGAGGAGGGCCTGCCGCTGACTGGCGTGCTCCACGAGATCGAGGTTCGTCTGGGACTTGGCCAGCGGCGAGATGGGATGCGGCGACATGACCGGGATGCTGTGGTGTCCACAGTGGTCGCAGGACGTTCGGGCGTAGCGGATCACCTGATTCGAGGTGGCGGCCACCGAGTGACGCGGAGTTCCGGGCACCGAGGGGGGCAGCGAGTTCGGCGGGGATCTGGAGAACGAGGCCGACTTCTTTGGCGCACTTATGGTTATGTATTCGCAGGCATCGGAGGATCTGTGACTGCTGTTCAAGGATCGAATTTAATTTAGGGACTGCTCAAGGACTCGAACTCCGCCGGCGAGTGGCACTTATACACACGGAAACCCGACAGGTTCAATGCTTTCCGATGAACTGAACAACTGAATTTTCATTTCCAACTTTTCATTTCAAGTCTTCAGCCTGACCCTGAATAAATCGCACACAATTATATGTATTTTTGCAGCTTTGATTGATTTTTGATCGATTTTAGGCCACCAATTGAGATATTATCACTCAGCTGGCCAACAAAACCACGCGTGTTCCTTTGGAAATACCTCTAATTTGTATATAAGTGGATAGATAAAAGTACGTCGCTTGTCTCATCAATCAAGCGATAGATAAGTTGTCACTATTTACATAAACATTAAGTGATCACGTTTTTCTTTTGTTGCCTGCAATCAGTGTCTGGAATTTGAGCCAGGGCTTTCACAAACCGAAAGAAACGACAAAGAGCATGACATCTATATGGTTTTGACGAACCATTTTGATAAGATATAATACTTAGGAGTGGAAAACTATTGAAAATAAAAACTTTAAAAGAAATATATTTGTCTTTTTTGGATTTTTAGAAATATCACTGTGTATATGTGCCACTGCCGTTGAGTACTTGAATCCGAAACTAACTCATTTCCTTTCGATATCACATCGTGATGATAATGGACTCGTTGCTTGGTCCTCCACAAATTGATCGGTTCATCGTACATGTCTTTCGATTTTAAGTTAATTAGCGACATATCCGAGCCGAAGTGCAGTTTCTTTTATGAAATCTGAACAGATCGTTCGCGATCTCCAAAGCTGCGATTTTCCGCGCCCTTACAGACTCGTGTCAGTGGGAAGACTGAGGCGCTTTTGAGGCAGTTACTCCAATTGTCGGAGCTATCGGCCAGACGATATTTGACTAACTGATTAGCGTTGTTATTAGCCTGCTATTTTCACCGTACGAGTACGAGTGTGATCCGTGTGTGTAAATAAATCTATTGCAGTCTTATTATTGCCTTAATTTATTAGCCTATTTGCACTTCATCAGTCGACGGGTGCTGAATTATGTATACGCATGTTGTATATAGCATCTTCGAAATCGTATATAATTCGATTTGTTTTGATATCTGTAACTATCTGATGGCAATATCACGTCATCATAACAAACTTTGTAATTATCGTGTTCCGTGTGGGTTGTAAAAAGTTCTGCTTTTCTTTAGCAGAGTGAGCCGGTTATCTCTGCAACTTTGCCTGTCTAGATCGCGGTGCTCTTGACTTGTTTACTGGGTCAACACTGTTTGCCGATCGCAAGAAAAGCTAATATTTGCCCACATGAGTCAATTTTTGGTTGGCTTCTCAAATTATTTCAAATGTAAATATGTGACGTTACAAAATGTATTAAGACCAGTGTATTCGTTTAAATAAGGTTTGTGGCTTTGAAATGGGAAAAACCTTGAGGCTGAGTCATCAGCTTCAGAGAAAGTTACGTGATAAGTGTTAAAAATATCAACCAAAATATTATGAAAGACCTAACACATCAAACGAATCAGGTAGACGACTTTAAGTGTGAATATGGTACGCCATATTTAATTGGTAAAATATATAACGAAAATTCACAAGTTCAAGTAATTAGATCAAAGTGCACTTCATATTGAAATTTATTTTTGATCTGCTATTTATTGATTTTCTATAATAAAGACTTACATTTAAGAAAATGTATCTTTTTCTTATCTTAAATCTGATTTACAAATAATATTACTTTTTCCTTTGTAACTTTTTTAAGGGTATTTTAGTTTACCTGAAAGTAACAGTTGGCATTCTTTCGTATTGAACTCCACTGTTGCGGTCCACCATTAATTTGTCCACAATATATTTTACGTTTTTTGTTAATATTTTACTTTCTTTAATAAAAAGTTTAAGTCAAAATATATTATTCTCTTTCTCCGTTCATATACATGGTTCTGTAATAAAACCACCCGCTAATAAGTTTGTGCAGATGGCAGCACAGTTCTCGAAAAACTGAAACCCAAACCAGACATCGATTCTTATCTTTGGGGTCTTCCTCATGTTTATAATACCAACATATACATAGGCAACGCCCAACGCGTAAATTTGTGGTTAGTTAATACCCAGATATTAGCAATGGTTCCAAAAAAACCAAGACAGTAGCGGACTGAAGGTAAATACATTTCCTATCGTTATCTTTTTAAGGGTCACCATTCCGACCCTGGTAATTAACTGAGTAAGCACTCCTTTCGAATGGCTGGAAAACAGTATTTATTGCCACTATCAGTTTCTTTAAAATCACTGCACTCATTTCAGACGCCGCTTTTGCTTCTGTTTACTTTTGTAATCAATAACTTCTGTCAATATGTGCCAATACATATACATTCTTGTTTTATCGGTTTTACCTTAATATTTCCCATACTCTTTGGACTGCCCGATAAGAAAGTAGCTAGTAGTTAACAACTGAAGTCGGGCAAGTTCACCATTACTAAAATAAAATGGCCTGTAATTGAAAGATAATTTAAAGCGCGTCAGGTGGTTATTCTTAGGTTAGTAACTTTTGAATAGGAAATGCGTAACGATTTGGATCAGTCATCATTTATGAGTCATTGTTGCCGAAATTAAAAATATTCATTTATTTTTTCATTTCAGACAAGAGTTTACAAATGTTGACCTTTCGTATTTTTGTCTAATTGCACCATAAACATAAATTGCCGTTAGAAATCATTATAAAATAGTCGAATTGCGCGTTCTTCTTATTATTTTTGAGGAAACAACTAAAATACAACTTCTAAACTTGTTGAGTAATACTCCCTCTTATTGTCAATTGTCATTTCGGAAAGGGGACGATTCATTTGAACTTTTCAAACTTATTGAACTACCAAAACTCACTTGTCGTACTACTTGAGCATATTTGCGAGGTCATGGTCATAAATATGTAGTTCCCAGAGCATCTGCTTCTCCACTGGAGAAGCCTCGATTTCGATCTGTGTATAATTTGTGCGACAAACTTTGTCATGTGAGCTGATGCAGTTAGTGAAGCTTCCTCCGAACCAGATGCGGTTCCCGCTCCAAAAAGTGCCCAGAGTGTGGGAAAGTTCCGCTCGCAGGACGAGCAGACAATGCAGGGCCAAAACCAGGACCACACATTGAGAGGAAGTCTAAGGACACTCGGGAAAAATAAGCTATTAAATTTATTAAAAGATATTAAGAAATATGTCATTAAACCTGAAAGAATTTATTTTTTTTAGGTACTTGAATTAAATTTTATTTAAATGGTAATAATAAAATATTATTATTTAATAAGAATGACATTAATGATTATAAATACTGTTGAACAGTTTTCTAAAGACATTATTAGAGAGCTTAACTAAGAGGAACTACTTTGTATCGATAGTAGATTTTAGGTGTTATTTTTTTCCCAGTGCAGAGGCGGAGACCACCAGCTGATAAATTTTCAAATTTGCATGCTAATGAATGGCCTGGCATGGCACTGTTGCTGCAAAGTTTTTAACTTATGCTTGCGCTTGCCTGGAGAAAATATGCACAGGGAGATTTATCTGGCCGGCTGGTGGCATTGCCCACTAGGTAAACTGAGGTAACCAAAACAGTTTGGTCCGATGCCATTAATTGCCTGCCGAACTTTGAGTGGCTTTCATCATTAAAGACGGGGTTACACAAGTTGGAACTAGGATGGTAAAAATACAATTTAGATGATATTTATCTTTCATGGCTGGGAAAATTTCTGTAAAATAGTATTTCCAGCAGTGGCGAAAATTGCTGCCAATTGCTGACTTCAAACCAAGCTAATATTTTGCAGCGCCGGCTAATGAAAGCGTCAGTTGTGTGCCAAAATGATGCCCCAGTTATTGGCTTACGCTGCGTATGAGTGCTTTAAATGGAGTGCGATAATGTGGCCAAAAACTGTTGGCACGTTGGGTGGAAATTTGTAAAGGAGCCACGGCTTGAGCCATGAATTTTTGAAAAGTTGTTGCTCCCTAATGGCCGCCGGTATAGATAAACACTTCAACTCGCTGCAAAGCGTTCAAATTATTCAGCGAAAGGATTTCGATGGCACTTGCTGTATTTGTCAAGGGTTTTAGACACTCGTTTAATCAGCCAACTATTCACGCATTTACCTTTCACTCCAGGCCGATTCATTCATCTGCGTTCTATTTGAGTTCCCCTCGAAATGCATTCATGCATGCCGATGGAGGACTTTTAAGTTTAATGGAAGAAGGTGACAAAAGAGAAGGTGGCGAATAAATTGCCTAAGCAGATGGAGAGTCTCAAGGTTTCTAATTTATGATAAGACGTTAATTTTACTAATGAAAGTTGCTCTGGCACAAATTTAAAGCCGAAAAAAAGATAATAAAATCCATTTTAGATTATACCGCAGAATGAGTGGGATAACATCTGTTAAAAACCTTTATAATCGTAACAAAAGGTTTATAACACTTCACCACAAAAATATATTTATTATACGTATATTTGCTTGGCCTTTTTGTCCAAAATTGTAAGCCATTGCCAGAAAATTGAGTTTCTGCCCTTCTTTATTTGCAGACATAAGCCTATTTCGTGTAATTCAATTTGGCCAAGCAGGTGTATAAATTGGCATTTATTTTGGCATTCATCAAGAGGCAGGCATGAAAGTCAATCATAAGACGGACTGTAAAAGTGTATTTACGATTGAATTATGGAAAATAATTCAGAGAGGATTTGGCAGGGCAATATATGAAGTAAATTGCTAGAAAGTGGCCACCTTTGCCTCTGATAAAAGTGAAGTTCGCCACCCTTTTGCCCCAATATTTATTGGCTTTTTATTTTCGCAGCGCCAAGCCAAACAATGCGAGGAGAACCTCCGCTGTTTTTCTCACTAAGAGGTTTTCCATCTCAGCATCTCAACTCGCCACTTTGCTGTCCAAACGAAAGTTTCAGTAAAAACTTTAGACACTCAGCTGCAATACTCGAGTTAAGCGCATTTCCTTCAAAAGAATCCTTCTGCATGACTCCTGGAATTTTGACTATCTAAAACTTGTGCATTTCGCCAATAGGTGAAAATATGTGAACCATAAATCTGGAATGTTAAATTTCCATTGAGGAAACTTTAATTGGTTTAACTTACTTATTATTATCTATTAGTGATTTAATCGATATTTATTTATAAGTTTATATTTATTTGTTATTTTTTATACAATAAAATGTATTTATTATTATTTGTTTTCAAAGAATTTAAGAAAAATATTCCAATTCTTCCCAGCTACTTTAGTTAGAAACTTTTTATACAAATATCCCGTAAATGGACTTAACTTGATGGCAATGATTCTCGCATTTCTAGGGATACTTCTGCACCCTGGTTATTTTGCAGTTTTCGATTTCGCAGCACGTTTGCGAAATAAAAAAGCGCGTACGTCACGCGGAGTCAGCTCGCAGAATAACAAAATCAGTATGCCACATCACAATTGCCAATGACAATCCCTCTGCTGAGAAATGGAGCCATGGAGCCAAGGAGAAATGGTTTGGAAGGGCCCCGAGTCCCAGTTGTTTTACATTTATGCATCATTAGGTGAAGGAGTGGCTTGGCAATATGCTAATAAATGTATGGACGTGTGTGACAGTCGGCGGGAAGAAGGCTATAAAGCAAGCAGCAGGACGCCACATTCGAGGGACTCCGAGTGGATCAGGGATTGGGGTTCTCGGGCAGGATAAGCGGATAAGGCACTTGGCTTTGATGCTGCCACCTTGATAACGTCCTTCCCGATGTGTTTACTTCCATGTATTTTCCTCCCACTAAACTCTAAAGGCCACATAAATTTCGGCAACGAACAAATCCCGCAAAGCAAGCTT